GCCATGCTGCATGGCGATCGAGTGCGAGGGGTGAACCGATTTTGCGCCAATGCGGAGGGTCCTGACCAAGGTGGGGGGAACGTGAACGTGGTGGCCTTGCTCGCTGAGGTCCCTCGAGGCTTCATCCACCAGGCACAAACCTGCTTGCAACCAGTCAACCACTGAAAAGCGCCCAGGGGTTTGGCGGCAGATGTCACACATCCATTGGCCATTCCCCAGGCGCCGGAGGCTGTGGCCCGATCGGACCTCTTGCTCCTGAATTCTCGTAGGTCTTTCATCCGACCCCGTCGATACGAACTCCCCCCGACACGACTGATCGTCCTCGCTACAGGTCTGGGCCAGAATCGCCCCAATTCGCTGGTGCACTAAAATGGCCCTCGCGTCGCCAAAATTGAGGGTCTTGATCTGGCCTCTGATCACACCGGAGGCGGCCTCAGCTCCGCGCTGGGCCAGCGTGTCCGCCATCTTGTTCCCACGAGATACTTCTACTGGTTGGCCTGTCTTTACCTGGGAATCCTGGGAATCTACATCCAAGTGGGACAAGCACTGTCGGACCCTGACGCGGCCCTCCCCTCGAGCTTCGAGGGCGCGCCGAATTCGGGCCCACCATCGGATCAAGGGCCCCTGAGGGTTCTCTCCATAGCCAAGGTTCCAACCGTCGGCGACCAACTGGCAGCCCGTCCACAGGAGGATCGGTCCCGTGGTGGCCTGGAGGGCCCAATACAGCGCAGCTGGCGCAGTCTGGTCCCCGTCGATGGTTCCGCACAGCCCCCGGAGAGCCCCCTGGTCCACGCCCAGTTCGGCCTCCCCCTTGCCAACGAAAGTAACCCCCACCCGACAGACGCGGGCGTCACTGGACGTGGCCGAGCCATCTAGGAAGCCCACTTGGACCTGGATGGGGGCAGGTGCTCGAGGGACGGAGGTCGAGGGAGGGGTCGAGGTCAGGCGGAGGGAGACCCACGGCCCAGACATCTTGCCCAAAGCCAGAGTCCCAAGCATGGGACGGGGGCACTGGGTTCCACTCCTGCGGGACAATCACCCTGGTCCAAAAACCTACATGCCTGCCCCCGCTCAAATCTTGATTCGCAACCTCGCACAAACCTTCCGTGCGGAGCACCCACTCGTGCACTATGCCAGCGTTCTGCCTGCAGTCGTACAGGCGGTGGGCAATAGTGTTCTTTGCCAACCCGCAACGCGGGCAATCGCCATCCATCTGGTAGCCTGCTGACTTGGCGCGAGCCTTGGTCCATATGCTGGCCAGAGCATTCGCCTCCAGAGCCCCTGCTTCTGCTAGTCGTCTCTGGCGTCGCATGCGTCGTAGGTTGACTCGAACCATGTGAAGGTCACCTCCTTCAGCGAGCCCCTGTCCTGTTGATTGAATGCGCCCCAGCCTGCTGCCGCAACTCCTTGCGAATAGCCGTCCTGGTCGCTGTGTAAAGATCCTCGTCGTTGTGCGGGTTGTCTGCGGCATGTTGCCATTCATCTCCGTCATCGTCTATCCATCGGTCTGGTGCTCGCGGAACCCAGCCGAGGCCTCTCAACGTAAGAATGGCCGCGCCCATCGGTCCAGTGGCCCATCTCCAGCGAGACCGCGCCTTCAAATAGATGAGCCGTCGGAGAAATGCTGTCCATCCTTTTCCGAAATCGGTCGTTTAGCTCAGGATGTGCCGACCAGAACTTGAACCAGTGCTTCGCCTGCTTCATGGCCGCGCTCATCCTGAGCTCATCGTCATGGCAGTGCAGCAGCATGATGGCGGCCGTGCAACGTCCACCGACAGCGCGTCCAGCTATAGCGCACGCCGTCGCACCACATCCGAGGGGGAGATTCCCAGGACTGGATCTGCGTTGCTGAACTAGGCTCGGATGTTTGTCTTGCACAGCATGATACCTTGAGTCCTCTTGCCTCCGCGTCCAAGACGTCTGAACAAGCTCGTTCGTGTCGCTCTCGCCTGCGCCACTGTGATGCGGCCCTTGGTGGTGGCGCACGCTGGCCGAACTTCCAGCGAACCATCCACACCCAGGTCCTTGGCTCATTTCGTCTTCTAGATCATGATGCCCGTGGTGGAGGCGACGCGCTGCAAAACCAGGTCCTCGCGCTCGGGGTTGGTCATCATCAGCATGGACTTCGGCGAGATCTTCAGACCCATGTCCAACATGCCCTTTGCTAGAGCCCCTGCCGCGTGCTTCGTCTGCTCCAGTACTAGCTGACCTGGTTCCTCGACTCGAGTGTAAACGTCATCTACATACTGACATATACGCGCCATAGGAGCCTTCTGATGTGAACGTTCAAGTAGCCGATACAGGAAGACACGCGCACAGTGATTAGCCTTCCCGCAGCCCGGCACGATGGAACACTTGGGAACGATGGCCTCTGCGTGGGCGCCGTTCGCCTTCACAGCTCGCGGTGCCAGGTAAGAGAGGCAGCACGGATAGAGCTCGACCGGGGGGAACTCGAAGACCATGGCCTGGCGGGCCATGAGCTCCAAATCCATGAGGTCATGGAAATTCTCGACGTCCGCCAGGGAATTGCTCTGCTCTTTGATGCCCACGTGCGCCCTGGTCTCATCCAGCACCATGGTGAGCATCGCTGCCTGGAGCGCATTGTACCCTCGACGGCGGCATCCCAGTGCGCTGCCTTCTCCTCACACGACCCTGTCAAAGCGGTCTTCGTCATGCGACCTCGGATGCGAACTGGCATGGGCAGCAGGCCGATGTCGCGCTCGTTGCCGATCTCCTGCTTGGTGCCCTTCGGGAGCGGGGCAAGCCAATTGTGAAGTAACTGCTGCGGCCTAGTGAGGCTACGCTCGGTCATGCTCAAGAGCGTGACAAAGGCCTCCTGTCCCTGGTCGGACAGCGCCAGAATGCGGGTGGGCGCCCGCTGATCCGAACCCTTGCCCGTGGCCTTCGGGAAAGACCGCAGGGCCTGCACCGTGGTAGGGTCGCTGCGCTAGCTCCCCGTGGGCATGGTGACGAAGCTCACCGAGGGCAGCGCGGATCGCTGGCAATCGGCGCGGCTGGGACGTCCACCGCTCCGCCCAGCAGGCCGCTCTGATCTCAGTGGTCCACTGCACCGTGTCGCGCACCTCCTGCCCAGCGGCCTCCAGGCAGGTCTCCGCCAACGCCTGCTGCCCCAGCTTCTTGAGGTAGCGGTGGGCGCCCTTCATTGAAGCCTTCGTGATGTCGATCGCCCACTTGCCGATCTCGCTGCGGGTCTGCTGCCGCGCCTGGCTGGCGCGACGCTGTGCGCGGGCTTGGGCCTTCATCGCGAAAAGCTGCCAGTGCTGGAAATCCGTGCTGTACTGTGAATGCGGATACCCATAGCAATCACCTTATCGTCATCACGAAACACTCGCCACTTACCATGTTGAGATTCCTCGTGACCTGTTGGAACTGGGCCTTCCCTGTCGCGTAACGCCTTCAGCTCCGAGGGAATCGTGGAAATCGTAATCTAAACCTGTCTATGATAACGAAAGCGTTGGAATCTGCCCAATGCAATCAGCTGCTCCTGGTTCCTTGCATGTAGGCTGGCCCGGAGACTGCTCATCTCGTCGGCTACTGCGTGACCGTTCATGGAGTTGGCGGGCTGCAGCACCGCCTTCTGCCAGCGGCATCGTACTGGTAGCCCTCGACGGGCCGTGTCTTTAGGTGCAGCTCCACAAAGCTCAGCCAGTTGAGCTTCGGCCTTCGGCTGCCGCAGCCCAGACTGCGTGCTGCTCAGCCATCACGTCTCTCATGTGCGCGTTCTGCTGATGCGCCACGCTCTGCGCGGCGACGTCGTTGCCCTGCAAGTTGGCGTCGCCGACGATCTGCCAGGCATCGTGCACGTAGGTGATCCACTTGCCGTCCTCGCATCGTCGGGGGCGACGCTGCGCGTAGCGGTCCTTGAGCAGGTGGTCGTCCTCACCATTGAGCAAGTCGCCGTGCTGGAGGTCTTGCTCGTTGCGCACCTCATGTAGCTTCTGATGTCGCTGCCGGTCACGTTGGCAACGCTTCACTCCCTTGGCGACTCGAAACTCGCCCTGGGGTACTTCATGTTGTACTGGGAGGCATGGGACACGCGTGAATACTGAAGCTGGGCGAGAGAACAAGCGAATGTCCAAGCCGATGCGCGGGGCTCTGGACAGGGTGGACGCTGTCCAGGAAGAGGCGGAAGCTATTGGGCACAATCGCGTAGTAAAGTATGCGACCCTTGCCCGAGGTGCAGGATATCTGAACCCCTTCTGGAGCAACCGCGTTGCCGTCCAGCGCCTTCAGCCACCCTGACTTTAGCATCTCCTGCGGGGTGGCGTTAAAGTCGCCCGCTAGCAGCCAGGGGACTCCAAGCGTCCTGACTATGCGGGGTATCGCGTGCATCTTCTTAGCGCTAGCGCCGACCAGGCCGATGGAGCAATCAAGGTAGCACACAATGAACGCGAAGGCGGCGCCATGGAAGCGCCACAGGACCACAGAAATGTCTTTGAGCGCGTCCTGGTGAACACTCTTGCCATTGGAGCCCTCCAGGTGGATGCTCGTGGCGTAGGTAGCTCGACGAAGCCAACGCGTACCCCCGTGCGTGCCCATGTCCGAACGCCCCGGTGCCGTAGCAGCAAAGTCCCTTCAGATCTCCATCCAAAATTTTGTAGCCGCTTCTCCTCCCTCTGGCACATCACTTGAGTCAAGTGATGCTCAGCCAAACCCATGAGATCGAAGTGCGACTGCTCGATCTACTTCTTGACCTTTGGGCCATAGCTGGTCACGCTTCCGAATAAGACGGGAATATAGCTGCGCTGGCCAAGCGGGACTCTGGCTCGTCCGTGTTCTGGGTTACCCTCCTGCCGGCTTCGCCTTTGCCATCGCTGGCTCCGACGCTGCCTTCGAAGGTGCTCCCGACGATGGTGTAGCCGTAGTTTGTGCTGTCGACTTAGCCATGGCCGCCTCCGCCGCCGCAGCTCTGGCCTTGATGGCCGCCGCGCGCTGGATGTAGGCGTCCGCGTTCTTCGGGCCACTGAAGCCCGGAGGTCCTACTGCTGGTCCCTCTTCTTCTCCTCCAGCTCCAGCTGCTCCTTCATGTGGTACTGCAGGGGCTCCTGCTGCCACGCCTGCGGCGCTGTCGGCTTTGCGCCGCTTCGCCGTGGTGGCCTTCTCGCGGAGCTCCTTGAGCGTGCTCGCCGCCTCCTGCGCCTCCTGGCCGATGTCCGCCGCCGACTTGTAGACCCGCTGGGCCTGCTGCGCGTGCGCCAGCGTCTCCTCGCACGCCTTCTTCTGCTCTGGGTTGAGGAGCTCGACATCCTCGGCATTGAGCTCTGGGAAGTGGAAGCCGTGTCCTTGTCGGGCTTGTCGCCTTCGGCCCGCTGGGAAGCCACGCTGGCCGTTCCTTGCGCAGCCGTGATGAGACCCGTGATGCGGTTGACCTTAGCCTGGGCCTCGCCGCAGGCTGGGGCATTCTCCTCCAGCTTTTCCAGCAGTTCCTTCCCATGCGTCGCATTGGCCACCAGCTGAGTCTTCAGCGTCCCTTGAGCGGTGGAGTTTCCGCACCTGTGCTGCATACTGCTCGAGCAAGACCTCAGGCGCCTTGGGCGGCGGTGGCTTCGCAGCCTCGCCCAGCTCGGGACAGACCAGCAGCATGGCTCGGACCTGGTCGTCCTGCTTGGCGGCCAAGGCGGCCATGTACTTTGGCAGCAGCTGGTCGAGGAGGGGGGGGGGCGCCAGCCGGGCTGCCGTCCTCGATGGCGACGGTGGCTTCCCTCTTGTTGCTCTGCTTGGGCCATGGCACTCCACAGGTGCGGCACGCTTCCCATCCAGCTGAACCTGCACGATTACAATGCACCCAAGAGCCTGGACAAGCGCGGCACACAAAATACCCCTGACGATGCTTGCCGTGCGACGAGGGGGGTCTGGAGCCATCTCTGCTCCTAGCCCTCGCACTGCCGCTGCGGCCCATCAAACACCGAAGCTGTGCAGCACTCGACTTTCGCCGTCTGAGAGGCGCCCCTCAAGCCACGGGAGCGTGTAGCGGGCACGGTGGTGCCCGCCCACACTCGGTACGCGCGGGTGCCGTGCGGGCGGGGGACCTGCTCCCAAGAGGCCCCTCGTGCCGCAAATGGCTTGAGAGGAGGAGGAGGAGGAGGAGGAGGAGGAGGAGGAAAAGAAGGAGGAGGAGGAGGAGGAAAAGAAGGAGGAGGAGGAGGAGGAGGAGGAAAGAGGAGGAGGAGGAGGAGGAGGAGGAGGAGGAGGAGGAGGAGGACGAACGGCTGCATCATCTGCTGCCCCGGCCGCGTGGCCGACGCTCTGGCGGCAGAGACCCCTGCACAGTCGCGCCCCGGCCTGCCGATTTCCACTGCAGACCGGAGTTGAGCTGCCCAGACAGCCAAGGCAATGCACTCGCAACGCCATGCAGGAATGGGGTGGAGGAGGAGGAGGAGGAGGAGGAGGAGGAGGAGGAGGAGGACGACGAGGAGGGAGGAGGAGGGAGGAGGGAGGAGGAGGAGGCGCCCGTGAGGCGCTTCGCTCGAAGGAGCAAAACCCAGCAGGCAGAAAACTGGAAAGGTCGTCATGGCCGCTGGCTCGGGCGACGGCGACAGCGACACTGGCGGTGACCGACGCGTTCTAAGCCTGGCGGCATGAAACAAGGCAGACTGAGAGGAGTTCGATATCCCCTAAACCAAGCGGGGGATCAACACAGGCAGCAAGGAGTGGGGACAAAACCGGCGGGAAGGCAATGCGAGACAAAACATGGAGGATGGGCAGAAGGGAAGCATTCAGAAAGGATCTGGCCGCCATCAATCATGCACTTGGAGGCCTTCCAAATGTCGGCGGCGAGCGAGGGGGGAAGTGAGAATGAAGAGGCCTTCTCCGAAGGCGGCGGGGCTTCTCAGAAGCCCTCCGGCCTTCTGAGAAGGCTTCTGTGTCCTCGGGGAACGATCAGAAAACTTCTCAGAAGATCTGAGAACTTCCGAGCCTTCTGAGAAGGCCCGTCCCTTCGCACTTCCCACCCAAGCTCGCCGCCGACAGAAAAGAAGCATTTAGAAAGGATCCAACCGCTATCAATCATGCACTTGGAGGCCTCCCAAACGGAACTTTCTGTGTTTCCCAACTATCTTGTGTTGCTGGGTCCACGCTTTGGAGAGACAGCGCCCCGCGTCCACCCACCTCCCGCTGTCCCCTCCTCCCTCCTCTCGTCATCATCATCATCATCATCATCATCATCATCATCATCATCATCATCAGCATCATCAGCATCATCATCATCATCATCATCATCATCATCATCATCATCATCATCATCATCATCATTACCAGCATCATCATCACCACCATCAGCATCATCATTATCAGCATCATCCTCATCATCACCATCAGCATCATCATCAGCAGCAGCATCATCAGCATCATCATCATCAGAATCATCATTACCCATTTCAGCATCATCATCAGAAGCATCATCATCATCATCATCATCATCATCATCATCATCATCAGCATCATCTTCAGAATCACCCCCCTCAGGTGTCGTGGCCCCATAAGGAGCTCCACCTAAGGTCCCAGCGGCGCAGTCCGCATGCGTCCCAGCCACCCATGTCGGCACGCCCCTCACACGTTGCGTGGCCCCATGGGGAGCTCCACCTAAGGTTCCAGTGGCGTAGTTCGCATGTGTCATGGCCACTCATGTCGACACACCCCTCGCACGTTTCGTAGCACCATAAGGAGCTCCACAGGAGGTCCCAATGGCGCAGTTCGCATGTGTCCCGGCCACCCATGTCGGCACACCCCTCACACGTTTCGTGGCCCCAGAGGGAGCTCCACCTACGGTCCCAGCGGCGCAGTTCGCATGCGTCGTGGTCCTATGGGGAGCTCCACTTAAGGCCGCAGTGGCGCAGTTCGCATGCGCCCCGGCCACCCACTTCGGCACAGCATTCACACGCTTCGTGGACCTATAGGGAGTTCACCTAATCCTAAAGCCCGAATGACTGGAATTTGCCGAAAACAGTCCCGTGGGACTATAAACATGATGGACCCACGAACCCGGAAAGGGATAAAGACATGTGCAGCATGGTCACGTTTTCACGATACCCAACTGGGCGACATCTCACGAAACATCCCACGAGACACCCCGCGAAACATCCCACGAGACACCTCACGAAACATTCCACGAGACACCTCACGAAACATTCCACGAGACACCCCGTGAAACATTCCACGAGACACCCCACGAACAGGCAACCACTCAACCAGACACGCCACGAAACATTCCACGGGGGTGCGACTGGGTGTGGTCGTGCTGGGGTGTGGTCGTGCTGGGGTGTGGTCGTGCTGGGGAGTGGTCGTGCTGGGGTGTGGTCGTGCTGGGGGGTGGTCGTGCTGGGGGGTGGTCGTGCTGGGGGGGTGGTCGTGCTGGGGGTGGTCGTGCTGGGGCGTGGTCGTGCTGGGGCGTGGTCGTGCTGGGGTGGTCGTGCTGGGGTGTGGTCGTGCTGTGGTGGTCGTGCTGGGGTGTGGTCGTGCTGGGGTGTGGTCTTGCTGGGGTAGGGTCGTGCTGGGGTCGGGTCGTGCTGGGGTGTGGTCGTGCTGGGGTATGGTCGTGCTGGGGTGGGGTCGTGCTGGGGTGGGGTCGTGCTGGGGTCTGGTCGTGCTGGGGTGTGGTCGTGCTGGGGTATGGTCGTGCTAGGGTGGGGTCGTGCATTTCGCTCGAGACATCCTGCCAAAATTCCAGGAAATCGTACAAAAACAAAGGAATTAGTCGAGACATCATCGAAATTCCTTCGCGCGGGGCGCTTTTCCGCGTCGCGGTCGGCTCTGCAAAACAAGCGTTTCGCTCGAGACATCCTCGGCAAACTCTGCGGAGCAAGCGTTTCGCTCGAGACATCCTCAACACACGAAAAAGTGGCCCGCACCCTGTGATTTATCGATCGGGATTTCAAAAACAAGCGTTTCGCTCGAGACATCCTCAAATTTTAATCCGCCGGCCTCCTTCGACCTCGATATTTATCAGGGAAAAAATCCGCCGGCCTCCTTCAAGTTGGCACCGGGGGATTAGGTTTACCAACTAAAAGAGAACCCTGGGCCGGCGCCCTTTCCGGGAAAAAATCGAAACTTTTAAAACAGTCGCCGGAGACTGGCTTCAAAATTCTCTAAACAGCGGTAAAGAAGAGCAGAAGGGAGAAGAAAACGACGACGACTGGACGCCACAAGATGCCACTGGAGGCGTTCCGCCGTGAGAAGCGGAGGAAAGGCGGAAGAGTAGGGAGGAGGACGCCGACGAAGAGATGGTGAAGGAGGAGGAGAAGGTGGAGATGGGAGGGGAGGAGGGGCGGAGGACGACGAATACCTGAAGTGGCAGGAGGAGGACGAGGAGGGGAATCAGCAGGTGGAGGGAGACGAATGGAGGAGGACGAATACGTCGGAGGAGGGGGATGAGAGGACGAAGGAGAACAGATCGATGGAAGCAGGAGGGGAACGACGACGATCATTAAGCATTTCGAGTGGAGATGGCGGAGGACGACGACGAATAATGAGGAGGACGACGAGGAGGAGGAGGAGGAGAGGGAGAAGGAGGGGGAAGAGAACAAAGGACGCAGAGAAAGTAGGATGAGGACAAGTGGAAAGAGAGTGAAGGGAAGGAGGAGGAGGAGGACGATGAGGAGGAGGAGGAGGAGGAGGAGGAGGAGGAGGGAGGAGGAGGAGGAGGAGGAGGAGGAGCAGGAGGAGCAGGACGAGGAGGAGGAAAACAAGGAGGAGCAGAGCAGGGAGAAGAGGAGGAGGAGGAGGAAGGAGGAAAGGCGGAGAGGAGCAGCAGGGAGGGAGCAGGAGGATGAGGAGGAGAATGAGGAGGAGGAGGCGGAGGAGGAGGACGAGAGGAAGGAGGCGAAGCGGGAGGAGGAGGAGGAGGAGAGAGGGAGGAGGGGAATGAGGAAGGAGGAGGAGGAGGAGGAGGAGAGGAGGAGGAGGATGAGGGAGGAGGAGGGGGAGCAGGAAGAGGAGGAGGAGAGGCGAGGACAAGGAGGAGGAGGGACAAGGAGGAGGAGCGAGGAGGAGGAGGAGGACAAGGAAAAAAGCAGGAGCAGGAGGAGAGGAGGAGAAGGAGGGGGAGGAGGAGGAAATGTGAAGGAGGAAGAGGAGGACAGGGGGAAGGAGGAGAAGGAAGAGGAGGAGGAGGCAGAGGAGGAGGAGGAGGAGGAAGAGGAGGAGGAGGGCAGGAGGAGGAGGAGGCGGCGGAGGACGGGAAAGAGGAGGATGAGGAGGATGAGGAAGAGGATAAGGAGGACGAGGAAGAGGGCGAGGACGAGGATGATGTTGATGAGGAAGAGGCGGAGGAGGAGAAGGAGGAGGAAGAGAAGGATGATGACGAGGAGAATGATGGGGGCTATGTAGAGGGAGGAGGAGGAAGAAGAGGAGGAGGACGAGGATGAGAACGTTGAGGAGGAGGAGGCGGAGGAGGAGAAGGAGGCGGAGGAGGAGGAAGAGTGGGAGGAACAAGAGACTGATGCGGATGAGGAGAATGAGGAGGAGGGGGAGGAAAAAGAGGATGGGAGGGAGGAGGCGGAGGAGGAGGGGGCGGAGGAGGAGAAGAAGAAGGAGGAAGACCAAGAGGATAAGGAAACGGAGGAGAAGGACGACGACGACGATGCTGCTGATGATGATGATGCTGATGATGCCGATGATGATGATGATGATGATGATGATGATGATGATGATGATGATGATGATGCTGATGCTGCTGATGCTGCTGCTGATGATGATACCGATGTTGTTGTTGCTGGTGATGATAATGGTGATGATGCTGATGATGATGATGACGATGACGATGACGATGATGTTGCTGATGATACTGATGATGCTGCTGATGATGATGCTGATGATGATGATGATGCTGATACTGATGATGATGATGCTGAGGATGCTGAGGATGCTGATGATGATGATGATGATGATGATGATGATGATGATGATGATGAGGAGGCGGAGAAGGAGGAGGAGGAGGAGGAGGAGGACGAGGAGAAGGACGAGGAGAAGGAATAATAGAAGGAGGAAGATGAGGAGGGAGGAGGAGGAGGTGGAGGAGGAGAGGAGGAGGAGGATGGAGGAGGAGCAGGATGGAGAGGAGGAGTACGATGAGCAGGAGGAGCAGGAGGAGGAGGAGGAGGAAGAGGAGGAGGACGAGGATGAGGAGAACGAGGACTAGAACGGTGAGCAGGAGGAGGAGGAGGAGGAGGGGAGGAGGAGGAGGAGGAGGAGGAGGAGGAGGAGGAGAGGAGGAGGAGGAGGAGGAGGAGGAGGAGGAGAGGAGGAGAGGGAGGGAAGAGGAGGAGGAGAGGGAGGAGGAGGAGGAGGAGGAGGAGGAGGAGGAGGAGGAGGAGGAGGAGAAGGAGGGGAGGAGGAGGATGAGGCGAGGCGGAGGAGGAGGGGAGGAGGAGGAGGGGGAGGAGGAGAGGAGGAGGGAGGAGGAGGAGGAGGGGAGGGGAGGAGGAGGAGGAGGAGGAGGAGGAGGAGGAGGAGGAGGCGGAGCGGAGGAGGAGGAGGAGGAGGAGGAGGAGGAGGAGGAGGAGAAGACGGAGGAGGAAGAGGAGGAGGAGGAGAAGAGGAGGAGGGGGAGGCAGAGGAG